GATGCTGTCGCAGAAGCCTCGGCACCCCCAGATCCTGCCTGTGACTCTGGATCTCACTCCCCCCCTTCCCCCCAGAGTTACCATTTGCATCGGCATCTATTTGCATGCACACACTGGTCCCTGGCTCCCTAGGAGGAGGCCAAACAGACACTTCTTTTCAAGGCCTCGGGTGGAAACGCTTCGCCCTGATGGCTGTTCATCATTCTTGTTTGTTTAGAAAAATGAAGGCCTCCGTGAACAGAACTATCATTTGTTTGCTGCCTCTCGGTCCTCTGTAAAGCAGCTTTTACAAGGAAAGCCCTCCAGAAAAACTCAGCTGCACCCCCTTCCGTCTCCCCGGCCCCCCGCCCAACTCATGTCTTTTTCTGGGCTTCTGTTAAAGGCAGGGGAAGGTCACTGTCCAGAGAGCTGTCGGAGCTCCCGTTCACAAGGCCATCTGGACCACGTCACGCCCCTGCTTCGCGGCGTCTGTGGCTCCCCATCGCTCTCAGGACACATACCCAGCTCATCAGAGTGGGCTCTGTGGCCCTGTGGGGCGTGACTTCCGCCCCGTCTCAGGCTTTGCCTCGCCCCTGATGCCCATGAACGCTCCTCCTACTTAAGGCTTTGGCCCAAGCTTCATCTGCCCCCCCCACCCCTGGAAGTCCTTTCCCCTCCTCTTTCTGCCCCCTTTCAGTTCTTGGCTTATATGTCACCTCCTCAGAGAGGGCCTCCTGGATCCACACCTGCTTGGGAGGCCCTCTGTGGCAGGCACTGTCCCCCGGCACATAGCACGATCTTAGTTCAGGAGTCAGTTACCTGCTAATGAAGTATATTTTCTAGAATGTTATCCTGTGAAGGTAAGGGGCGTCCACCCGGTCCCTATGCCATCCCAGGGCCTTGCACACAGTCAGCCCCAACAAATACTTGTTAAATAAAGCACTGATGCAGTGAAGGGATCTGTGAACAAACGAGCGAGTGGGAAGTAATATCAGTTTTCTAGATCTGATACCTTTCTTGTGTGCCTGGAGAGGCTCAGCTTTCAAAAACAATCACTTTAGCTTTGGGGTTCATGGTGGCTGGGTTATGATTCCCTCCAGGGTATGGATGTTCGCATTTGGAGGGGCCTGGGACTGGCGACACGGGCGGACTCTGTGAAGGCCGGAAGGCTGGCGTGGTGGGGTGTGATGCTGGCTGGTCGCAGTGACGGAAAGGGGAGCTTGGGGGCCAGAGGGGCTTCAATTCCCCCTGAAGCCTGAGATGCCTCAGAATTGGCCTGGAGAGTGTGATTCTCTGAAGGAGAGCATCCCAGACTTGAGAGTGGCCCGAATTCTAGGACTTCTTGTGGTCTGCCACATTCCACGCTTGGCTCTTCCCGGAAACCGTGGTGTGCCGTGGGGGCCCTGGGACACTGTGTGGGTGTTGGCAAGTCTAGGCACAGAGGAGATCGGCCCGGCTCCACCAATGGGGACCTCATTCATTCAAGCCCTGTTGAGCTCAACTGTGTGCCTTATCATCTCATTTAATCCCTACAATAATCTCTGCAATATATACATTTTAAAGTTTATTTATTTTTTGGGAGGAGGAGGAGAGAACTAGCTGGGGAGGGGCAAAGAGAGAAGGCGACAGAGGATCCAAAGTGGGCTCTGTGTCGACAGCAGGGAGCCCGACGTGGGGTCCAAACTCATGAACCACAAGGTCATGACCTGAGCTAAAGTTGGACGCTGAGCCGACTGAGCCAGCCAGGTGCCCCTAGTCTTTGCAATATTAATTGCCCTCAATTACAGAGGAGATGAGGGAGATTCAGAGAGGGGCCACCACTTTGGCTAAGATCATACAGGTAATGACAGAAATGAGATGCAGACTGAGGCTTACATCACTGTCCATTCTCTTTACTCTCAAGCATGCCCCCTCCTCGAAATGGCTCTAGACCAATGAGGTCGGCTGAGTGGTTTTTGGGGCTGCCTCAAACACATTACGCATACACACATGATCGCACATATGGACACAGATAATCCTGGCAAATGAAAGGTAAAGGCTTCTAATTTATAGCCAAGGATATGGTTTAAAACTCAGACATTTCTTGGGGCACCTGTGTGGCTCAGTCGGTTAAGTGTCGGCTCTTGATTTTGGCTCAGGTCATGATCTCTCGGCTTGTGGGTTTGAGTCCTGCGTTGGGCTCAGCGCTGACAGCATGGACCCTGTTTGGGACCCTCTCTTTCTGCCCCTCCTCTGCTCTTGTGCTCTCTCTCTCTCTCTCAAAATGAGTCAAGTAAACATTAAAAGAAAACCCAAAATATACAGACATTTCTGTGAAAGTTAACCAATAGATTCACACTATGGTATAAACGGCTGATAGGAGATATTTTTCATGAGAGCAGTTCTTGATGAAGGAAGAGGGCATGCAGAAGAGACAATAGTGCCCGAAGGGCTCAAGGGGCAAGAAGAGAGAAAGGGGAGGGGCGCCTGGGTGGCTTAGTCGGTTAAGCGTCCGACTTTCGCTTAGGTCATGATCTCGCGGTTCGTGGGTTCGAGCCCCGCATCGGGCTCTGTGCTGACTGCCAGCTCAGAGCCTGGAGCCTGTTTCAGTCTGTGACTCCCTCTCTCTCTGACCCTCCCCTGCTCACGCTGTCTCTCTCTCTCCTAGAAATAAATAAAAAAAAAATATTAAAAAAAAAAAAAAGAAGAGAGAAAGGGGAAGGGAAAGGAGAAATGGACTTAGGAAATGGAGCCTCAGAAGAGAATTCTCGACAGCTTTGCATCACTGCTGAGGGGTGACTTTGGAGCAGAAACTCGAATGGTGAGGGCCAAGAAAAGATCTTGAAAAAGAGCATTTCGGGCAAAGAAACCAGGGGGGAAAGCCCCCGAAGTTAGAATTGGGCTGGCCAGTGTGCCCCAGGCTTGGTGAGTGGATTTGCAGTAGTGGAAACTGAGTTAGAAACAGCATTTTCTTGGGATTTTCCAGCTTAGTGCGCACCTGAACGTGCACCGCGTTATCTTGTTTGACCCAGCAGCCTCCATGACTTAGAGTGCAGAGGGTTATTTAGAAGACAGGAATTAGGGGAACAAGCTCCTTCAAACCGCCTGGGATCAACTCCTATTAGTTCAGTTATTGTACTTGCTTTAAAAGCAACTTGACATTTTCCTCTTGTTTAAAATGAGGCCAATCGTCTCCATCCTGGCGTTTGGGGGAGATTTAATGAAATAGTCATGCAAACTATTCCATGTGACAGTTGGTACACAATAAGCACTTAATAAGTGTTACCTACTACTATTCTTTCTATTTCATGCAGCCAAAGTGCCTTATTTGGAAGAACATTTCGGCGTGGCTATCCACCTCCTAAGATTGATTCTGAATCTTGGCAGATGACTGATTTCTTTTTAGTGCCCGCCACACCGGTGGAGCTCCGCAAAATATTTGTTGGATGAATGCAGGCATGAACAAAGGTGGCACAAATCAGGCGGAAATAGAAGGCAGCATATAAAACGGGTGGGCAGAGGAGTTTGAAGATAGCTTGGTGAGCACTGGGGAGTTATGCGAGGCTCTGGAGCAGGGGCAGGGAAGTGTCAGGTGGATTGAAGGAAGGCGGGGTTGGAAGCAAGGTGAACAATGGGCAAGTTGGGGGCATCTCCTGGGTGAGGAACAAGACAGATTTGTTCTGAAGGCGCGAGGGAGGGGGCAGGAGGGTTTTCCTTTCATGTTCATTGCTTCCCCCGGAGGACTGTAGATCACGCTGGAGGACTCCCCTCTGTCCTGACCCACACCTAGTGTGTCTCTACTTGCGATATGCTGCTCTGCCCCCCGCCCCCCCTCCGCCCCCGAGCCATCCGCATGCAGGTCTCTGGGATGTCACCTACAGCGGGCTCGGGGCCCTCTCATTCATCATTCACCTGTGTTGTATCTCCAGCCAGGAGAGTCTAAAGCGTATCTGATATGGTAACTCCCAGCTCTGAAGCCTTCCACTGGCTTCCCTCAGAGAGCCTCAATTCCCTTCTGTGGCTCCCAGGCCCTGCCTAATCTCACTCTGCTGACGTCTCTGCCACGTCTCTCCCTCCTCCTCTGTCTCGGGGGTCTCCACTTGGGCTCACTGATCTGACCTTTCCCTAATCGGGCTGTCTCCCACGGTGTATGCCTGAACTAAAGGGTCCAGGGTGACCTTCTCACCCTTTAACCACGGGAATCCCTCGGCTGTCAGTGCAGGTTCCCCATTCGGTCGGCTTGGGGTGGGGCCTCCTCCTCAAGGCCCAGGGGGTCAGGGCTTGCGAGAAATGCAGATTCTCAGGCCCCTTCCGTGACTTTCTGAATCTGAATCTGCACATCGGCAATGTCAGCACCTAGGTGTCTGGGAGTGCTCTAGGCCAGTGCCTGTAATCACCTTTCTGGTGGCTCCTGGGGGGGAGGGGTCCTCTTAGATGGGGGTCATGCCCAGGCTGGCCCAGTGACCAGGATTTTGTTTCAGAGTCTATACCTGGTTGGAGTCAACACCCGTGAGCTCTGACCCAATGAGACCAGTTGGGAAGCTCTGGCCTCCAGCAGGGAGGGAAGAAACAGAACTGGCTGGGTGAAAATGAGATGCTGGCTGAGGGGGCGGGGGGTAGGATCACTGGTCCCCTGCAGCCACTGGCCCACGTGGTGTGCCCCAAATGGTTTGTGTTTGAAGGGTGTGACAGAGGAGGCCATAGGATTTTTCTTAGCAGATTGGGGTCTATGGTGGCTTTTCTCAGATTGGGCTTGATCTCCATGCCCGGGCTTAAAGCCTCCAGACCCACCTTTGTAGAGCCCTCTCGGGGCTCTAGCTGCTCGAGAGCCCTTCTAGGCCATTAGCAGCCACCAGGCCCAGCAGGGACCCAGCCGCCAGGGCTCATCCTTTATCACAATGTATCTGTCTTCGTACAACACTTGCAGTTTTAAATAGCATTTTTCTCTCCCTTTAGATGATCTCTGGTAGAAGGCTCTCGGAGGCAAAGAATCTATAATCTTTTGTGTCATTCATCTGTTCATCCATTCATTCACTCACTTATTCATTCAACACATATTTATTAAGCCAGGTCAGGAGTGCCAAGGGCAGATGCCGGAGGAACAAATACTGTGGTGCTCGCTTCTAGAAACCCGCTGATGGGTTGCCCCTCTCACCTGTGGGTTGTGGCGACAGGAAGGGTTATCGCCCTGAGTATTGCCTGAGACTGGAAAACCGAACCCGCAAGATGTTGCGCTATCGGGAGGGGGCATCCGTAGCCTTCACCGTGCAAAGGGGTTCGCTGTGGGATGACACAAATCCAGAGAACTTTAGAATCTGATGGGATGTGAGGCACTAGCTCATTCGATTCCTTTGCTAGGCAGGGGTGGGCCGTGGGATTTAAACGGCGTGAGAGGCTTGGTTCCAGTTTTTCAGCCATGCCGGAGTCAGGGGGTCGCATTCCGTGTGGCTTCTTGCTTCCGGGACGAGGCTCTTCCCATCATGCCTTGCATGACATAGAGAAGCTCCCAACAGCGATGAGGAAAGGATCAGTGATAAATTTTTTTGAGTGCTTTTTATGTGTCAGACGGTATTCTAAGTGCTTTTCATGGTGCCACAACATTGTTCTCCTACCAATGCCGTTAATACTGCTGAGAGAGTGCTGAGGCACAGAGAGATTAAGCGACTTGTCTAAGGTCACACAGCTCAGAAGTACTGGCACTGGAGTTCCAATCCAGGCCATCAGGCTCCTGAGCCCACAACACCCTATGGCTTCTTCTTAGAGAGGGACTCCTTGACCCGGGGTCCTCGTAGAGAAATGCGTTTCCACTTACACATTTATTTACTTATTTATTTTTAAAGTTTTTCTATTTTTGAAAGAGAGAGAGAGCAGGGGAGGGGCAGAGAGAAAGAGAGACACAGACTCCGAAGCACGCTCCAGGCTCTGAGCTGTCATCACAGAGCACAATGCGGGGCTCGAACTCATGGACCACGAGATCATGACCTGAGCCGAAGTTGGAGGTTTAACCGACTGAGCCACCCAGGCGCCCCATCACCTACATATTTAAAGGAAGGGACTTCAATGCCATGCAAACCAATGCTTGGTATCGATCTCCCGACAGGTCTTTTAAAGTACTGGGCTGCTACGCATAGGGCCGCCATTAAGGTTTGTAAAGCTTTGCTGATAAAATAAAAGCAGGGCCTACCTATGATGCACGCAACAAGAAGTGGGACTGTGATCAAGGCTACAGGTGAAATGGGATCACCTGTCTGTGTGCTGGAAATGCCTGCAGACTTTACAGAGTGAGAAGATTGGGAATAAACCCATTCAAATGCCAACGGTGTGTATTGCTCTTTGGGTAGCACTTATGACACACATGCTTACAACACAATCATGTCACTCTCAGTAGTGACTGAATTAAATATTGCAATATATTTTTTTTAATATTTTTATTTATTTCTAGGAGAGAGAGAGAGACAGCGTGAGCAGGGGAGGGTCAGAGAGAGAGGGAGACACAGAATTGGAAACAGGCTCCAGGCTCTGAGCTGGCAGTCAGCACAGAGCCCGACGCGGGGCTCGAACCCACGAACCGCAAGATCATGACCTAAGCGAAAGTCGGACGCTTAACCGACTAAGCCACCCAGGCACCCCTTAAATATTGCAATATTAATAAATGAAGGTTAGGCATGTTCTGCTGGTCTCCAACATCGGCCCATTCGGGTCTTCGAGTTGACTTTTTTTTCCTGCGGGCTTGATTAATTTCCAGGAACATCCCTCACTTCACGGTCCCCACTCCTCCCCACCTTTTATAGTCTGGGGATTCTCTCTATGAGTAGGTAGTCCCAGCTCAGCCCGGAATCTAAAACAAAAAAGACCAGTTAGCTCTCTACTTGGCTTTTTCCTATGAAGTGGCTATCAAAATTAACCCTGGAGAGTATGCACTTTAATGTAGCCATCTTGGCTACATTTTCTGGAAACTCATAAAAGGGAACAGAGAAGAGAGAACGCTATGAACCTTGTAGGAACTTAGGAGTTTCATCTATTGTCATAGGCAGTGGGACCCAAAGCCATTTAAATCATCTGGGGGAAGGGGAGGGAGGGACCGTAATTATTTGCAAGGGGTGTGATAGGCAGCCTGGTACAAATGGGCTGCCCTTTGTTTTCTCTGCTCATGGTAATGATTGCAGGCTGGCCATGGTGTTTAGCAACAGTCTCTAACAGGTCACTTATGACAGCTTCATCACTCTCATTAGCGCCTTTTGTTTGCAGTGAACACAGAAAGCTGTTCAGCATTAAGGGAGTCAAGGGAAAGAAAGAGAGGAGGGGGTGGAAAAAGCCAAGGAGAGAAAAGCCAGGGAAACAAGGTTCGCACACTATTAATACCAAGGAAAAATACCTCTGAGTGCTCAGTCAGCTGACTCTGATGGTGAAGCGACCGCAGTTAGGGGACCCAATCCTGGACTCCCTGTTCTTTCTCCTAGAAGAGTAATTGCTTATGTTTATGGCCGCTGATCATTTGTGCCAATTTTGGTTCCTCGAAAAGCCCTAGGGGGATGTTATTTTTGGTAAAGGGTCTTCCTGCTTCAAGTGTAATGACTGAGTAACTAGTTTCAGTATCTCCTCTCGCATGCCAGGGTAAAATGAAGCAAAACCAATAGAGGAAGTGCAGTGATCTTTGTCGGGGACCCCCTGGATGTCAGGCAAGGTGGCATATGTTGCTCCTGAAATCACCCGGCCAGTCAGAGCCGAGGAAGGATTTGAATTCAGTTGTGTGTCTCTTGTTGCAGGTTTATTACACCTTGCTACGCAAGCGCGCGTGCAGCACACACACACACACACACCCCAACCCCCTTGCCCCCCCAAACAAAACAAGCACAACTGCCCCCCAAATTCTTAACTGACGACAGAGGCAAGGTTAAAAATCTCAGCTCTTGCAAGATCATGAAAAAGTAGGCAAGACGTAAGTATTTCAGGATCTGATCATGAGAAAGCTTGAGTGATCAAAAGACATCTTGAAACGCATCGATCGTGCTCACTAAGTCATGAAAATGTGTTAACACTTCTTTGGGGAACTTACCCTCTCCTCCTGGGGTGACCTTTGACAAGACATTCTGTGTTCCCATTTTTAGGCAAAAGACAAAAAAAGTGGGGAGAAGATGAAAGGTCGACACTTGGCTCACGCAGATCTTTGTCTCATCAGTGCATCTTGCTCGTGCTGGCTCTGCTGCGCGGCCGAGCTCCTTTGACTCATGTTCCGGCTCCTTACGTCCTTCTTATCCTTTTCTGGACAACTTTACCAATATCGTGCCTTAGATCTTGAGAAGTATCTGGTAAAACTGGCCAATTGGGATGGCAGGCATAACTGGGAAACAGATGGGGGCGGGGGCATGGGGTAAGGGAGGGAGGGAGAAAGAGGGCTGTCATTCTTCAAGATGACCCAGGAGTGGCTGCTTCTGCCGTGACATTACATTTAATGCCTCAAACTGGACCCGAGCCACTTCTGGTGAACTCCGTTAACCCTGTAAGCTATTGACAGGACAGTTACTCACTGCGTACTGAGTCTAGGCTCCTGGTGCAATGTGACAGATGGGCACGAATTCAGGGGGATTGAAAGAAATTAATTCCCAGGGGCGCCTGGGTGGCTCAGGCTCTTGAGCACAGACTCTTGATTTCGGCTCTGGTCATGATCTCCCAGTTCTTGGGTTCGAGCCCTTCATTGGGCTCTGCACTGACAGCATGGAGCCTGCTTGGGATTCTCTCTCTCCCTCTCTGTCCCTCGCTCCCCCCACCCCCTCAAAATTAATAAATAAATTAAAAAAAAAAAAAAAGAATTCCCAGCTCGGGTCTTCTTAGGACTTCCTGGGTGTCCCTTCCCACCACTCCAGCCAGAGTCCCACATGGGTTCTAAACCGGAATTGTGTGTACCGCTGGGGAAAACTAAGAAGCAATGAAAACCTCAGGCTGGGGTGGGTGGTGGCGGGCAGACGCAGAGACCAAGACCGAGACTGAGGATCAGGAAGCTGGAAATTCCCTCCTGCCTTGGTATTTGGGTTCTCGCTTTTCCACTTCCCCAAATCACCCCCGCGGTGGCCCCTGCGCACACTGGGTGCTTCCTAATGGTCTCTTTAACTGATGGTAAAACCCCAAGAGCCAGACGTCTACTTCTCGTTCTCAGCGACCACGGTACCCTCCAAACTCCAACATCTCACCTGAGTGCAAGGGAGAGGACCCACCTTGACCAGAGGGAGCGCTCCTCCGTCAGGGGGCTCCTTAAGGGCAGCTCCCGTGGGAGCTCTCACCCCTAACTTCGCCCAGTTTAGCAGGAGACAAGCAAGTTTCTCCAGCTTTTAGGTTTTTCCTGGACGAGTTTACAAGCGAGGCTGTTTGGGGTCAGGCGCGAGGCTTGGGGGGGCCGGCCTGCTGGGTGCTGTTGAAGGGTGGCCCGGATGGGATCCGGGCTTCGTCGGCCCCTGCGGGAACAGGTGGGGCACGGGCTTTTTGGGGGCCACCCCAGGCCTCCCGCAGGAATGCTGACTGACAGTGTCCGGTTTGAGAACTAGCGTGTCCTGGGCCCGGGGAGCTCCCCACTGCCTCCTGGCTGGTGGGCGTCGGGTCCAGGGTACACCCTGCTGGCAGGGGTCCTGAGGACAGGGGGCGTGAGCGCGCTTGGAGCTGGAGGCGGGAAGTAGGGAAGAGGGGGGGGAGGGAGGGGAGGAGGAGGAGAGGAAGTCCCCCGTGGCCACCCCGAAGGGAGGGCGGGACGGTGCCCGCGGGCACTCGGTCAGGAGACCAGGGCTGGGCCGGTAGGGCAGCTACACCCGCCAGCCTAGGGACTCCGACCGCGGGGCGCGCGCTCCCCGCCGACCCCCGGCGAGAGGGGCGGGGGCGGCGGCGCGTGCGCGGGGCGGCGGGCGGGGGCGCGCGCGGGGGGCGGGGCGGTGCGCGGCGGCCCCGGCGGGCGCGAGGCTGCGGCGCGCCGAGCGGGGCGCGGGGGCGCGCGGGCGGGAGCGCGCGCGGGGGGGCTGCCCCGGGGCGGCCCCCCCACGTCGGGGCGCGGCGGGCGGCGGCGGCAGGAGCGCGTCCCGTCCGGGTCCCGAGGAGTCGCCGCCACCGCCGCCGCCGCCGCCGCCGCCGCCGCCGGTCGCCAACATGGCGGACCTAGAGGCCGTGCTGGCCGATGTTAGCTACCTGATGGCGATGGAGAAGAGCAAGGCCACCCCGGCCGCCCGCGCCAGCAAGAAGATCGTGCTGCCCGAGCCCAGGTACCGGCCACCCGGGTCCGCACCGCCCTCCGCGCCGCCGCTCTCGGCGGCCGCCAGCGACCCCCTGTGTCCGGGAGGGTCGGCCGCTGCTGTTCTCCTTCCCCGACCCTCAGCCTCACCGTTCCCGTCTCTGAAATGGGCATCAGAGGGCTCCTGGGGTGGGGTGGGGGGGACTCCGGGAGAGAGCGCCCCAGAGTGACCAGCGTGGCGCCCCGCGCGCAGGAGCGACCCAGCAACGGGCTGCCGGGAGGTGGTTGTGACTTGGCTGGACCGGCTCCATCCCTGTCGCCCCCTCCGGTCCCATCCCTGTGGTCCTCAATGCTCCCCTGCCCCGGCTCCCCCCTGCCCCAAGCCTGCCCTTCCAGCCCCATCCCTCTCCCTTCTGCCCCATCTCTGTCGCCCCTCCAGCCCCATCCTCATGGGCCCTTCTGCCCGGAGCCTGTGGCTCCCCCGTGCTGCATCCTGCGCGTTCCTTCTCTGGTCCCTGCTGCCCCTGTTGCCGACTGCGTCCTCTCCTCAGCTCCCCGTGGGCCCCTTAGCTGGGGAGTGCGGGCTTCTTGCCTTTGTCCCCGGTACTTAAAGTGCAGTTTTCAGTGCTTTCACCCCTTGAGGTCCAGTCTACTCTGCTTCCTATCCTCCTCGCTTTTCCTCTTTTCTGCCCCTCAGGGCAGCGATGAGTGGCTTGTGACCCACACAGTTTTCTTTTTGGTGCCAAGCCTATCGCCTAAGCGGCTCTCCTCAACTTGCGGATCCTCCGGTGGTACTTTATTTAAAGGTTGAAATGGGATTCACTGCAAACGCACATTGAAAGGTTGATTCCAGACAGAATTTGTTGTTTAAATTACCAAAGAAGGGCCCGATTGAATTGGTGAGGGGCTTTAATGAGGGCCACACCAAGTTGTAATTTTATCTCGAAAATGGTTTTATTATCGATGGAACCAGTTAAAGACTTTACTGGCTCGAGTCATTAGCGCTACCCCAGAAAAGATGGTCAGATTCGTCGAGTTTCAGATAGTGTATCAAAAGATTCGGGTTGGATTTTTTCCCCCCTCTTAGCTTCTTTTCTGATTAACACCGTCATGAGTTCTATAGTGAATGTGCTAAATAGCTCTTGGTAGAACTGACGGTAAAGAGGCACCTTCTTTGTGGTGAATTTGAAACCCTGCAGTTTGATAAAATATGAGAATCTCCACCAAAGCTATTCTCCTTTTGCCAGCATCAGTGTTTCAGGCATCACACAGCCAAGCTTGCTCCAATGGTTGCCTTGACAGAAGAAAACAATCTTTGTTTTAATGCGAAGTGATCACCAGATAATTTTTCCAAGTCCGTTTTGTGAGCCTGATCCCTGTGACAGAGAAAATTATCAGTCCTTTGAGCTACTTGTTGTGAAAACACAAACTGTAAATGAATACGTGCAAGATATTTTTGGCTTGCTTGCCCTTTTTGTTAGCCCATGCATCTCCTTGGTTTTGCAGGGTGTGCTCTTTCAAGAGGGATGCCAAGCAGGGAAAAGCTGGGGGAGAGCAGAGACCTTTTGGAGTATTGTGAAATTAACACTCCTCTTCCAGAGTCTCACTTATCTGAAGCTTGTTGAAAATCAATGCTGTTTAGAATTTTTGGCAAATGGGGAGCTAAGTAAAACAAGAACCCCCAAGTCAAGGCTGGATTTCAATTTTTAAAAAACTGCATTTTTTTTTTTAAAAACTGCATTTTTATAACTATGGTATACACTACTTAATTCCTTTCTCTTTTGCCTTTTCTACTTTTCCTAAAGGGCAAGGAGTCCTAAATATATAGAGTCTCTATACGGAAAACTGACAAATCTTAGCTCATGGGTAGTTTTGGGAGGACAGACTATAATATTAAAATTAGGAACTTATCTTCGTGTGTGTGTGTGTGTGTGTGTGTATGTGGTATTTTGAACTTAATGTGACTTCTGCTTTTTCGGTGTCCCTCTTAAGAACATACTTACATGTTTTGGGTATTCACTTCCGTGTATGAACGACTCTGTTTTTTTGGTGGTATTCTTTGGTGACGCTTTCTTTTAAGGCAGAACTGGGAGCATATTTCTCATGACATTTTAGAATTGAGAAATATCAACAGGAGAGTAATTTTAGGAAATGGCTCTTAGTAATTATTATTCTGTTGCTATTTTTGAAAAATAGACTCTTAAATTAGGCTATTGGCACCTCCTCCAAGGCTTCTAATGTGTTTTGTATTTATCTCCAGTGGCTTTCACTCTAGTTTTGTAATGTGACCATTTGCATAGTAACTGCCACTCCCTTGCTGCTGTGAGATTATCAACTAAAACATCTTGCAGATTTTTATCTACCACTGGATGGCGGGCAGTGCTAGCTACCTGCTGGGGTAAGGGTGGGAGGCTGGGGGATTTCTCCATCTGGTAAGAAAGGTAATTTTCATTTTAAAATGCCTCCGCAAAATGGTTCAAAAGACTAGTGTGATTTCACTCTGTTGGTAAAGGATGGTGGTCAGATGTTTTCTGATAAAGAGTTTTTCTCTTTCAGCTTCATTTTGGAGGGAAGCCTGTGATCACCAGTCTTTGCTGTTCCCGAAAAAGATGTTTAGGTTTGTCGTTTTAGTATGTCAGTGACGAGCATAACACTTGCCGTTGGTCTGTCACCAGTGACTTTTTATTTCCAGCCGATTATTTGAAATCACTGTAGTATTCTGCAGGCTTCCTCATTCTAGGTGTTTTGCCCCTTCTGCAGTTTTAACCAGAAAAGCAGGACTACATCATATCTAGCTAATTTGTTTATTTATTTAAAAAAAACTTTTTAAATGTTTATTTAATTTTGAGAGACAGAGAGATACAGAATGTGAGTGGGGGAGGGGCGGAGAGAGAGGGAGACACAGAAACCAAAGCAGGCTCCAGGCTCTGAGCTGTCAGCACAGAGCCCAGCTCAGGGCTGGGACCCAGGAACTGCGAGATCCTGACCTCCCACTGAGCCACCCAGGTGCTCCTCTAGCTAATTTAAATGAAAGGTTAGGTCTTCCTGGTCCCGTGCCTATTAGGGGAGAGTCTCAGAAGATGGACTTTCCTGCCCCCCCCCCCCCATTTTGCATCTCTGAGATAGCACAGAGGCAACCTTTTGTTATGTTGACACATTATTTAATTAACGAACCAGTGAGTGTAAAATCCCGTAATAGCTGACTATTCGTTCAGATTACATAGCTGCTTCAGTTTACTGAAACATTTGTTGAGTTAATGTAGCTGATAATGGGATCTGTTGGGAAGAGAAAACTGTGACCCAGGGGCCCCCTGTGCACACTCTGTCAGAAACATGAGCATTGAGATGTGCCTGCCGGTTGCCTTACACCATGTTACAGAAGGACGGTGTTATTTGATAGGGTCTAATTCATAAGCTAAGACTTATCAGAGGGTCAGCCTCTTAAAACCCGGATCATCAAGACAACTTTACTTTAGGCTCGTTACTCATTTTAATCTTTTCCAAACGGAATGAAGTTCAGTTGACTTGGTGCAATAACATGAACTTGACCCTTTCCCTGCATCCCGTGTCTGTTTAAGGGACATCGACAGTATTGGATCGACAATATTGGATCATTAATTGCAAAGCCTGTCCTTTTATTTTGTTTGTTTGTTTATTGTTTATTTATTTATTGTTTTTTATTAAAAATTTTCTTTAAGGATTTCTTTTGAGAGAGAGAGAGAGAGAGACAGAGCGTGAGCAGGTGAGGGGCAGAGAGAGACAGAGACAGAATCTGAAGCAGGCTCCACGCTCTGAGCTTGAACCCACAGACTGCAAGATGATGCCCTGAGCCAAAGTTGGATGCGTAACCAACTAAGCCACCCAGGTGCCCCAATTTATTTATTATTAAAAATTTTTAAATGTTATATTTATTTTTGAGAGAGAGAGTGCGAGCAGGGGCAGAGCAGAGAGAGAGAGTGGGGGACAGAGGATCTGAAGTGGGCTCCACGCCGACATCAGTGAGCCTGATTGTGGGGCTTGAACTCACAAACTCTGATATCATGACTTAAGCCAAAGTCGGACGCTCAACCGACTAAGCCACCCAGGAGCCCCCGCAAAACTTGTCCTTTTAAAGTATTCCTCCAATATGATAGGAAGTTCTGAAAATAACATTTGCAAGATTCTTTGTAACTTTCCTAGAATATCCTTAAGGGCATCTGTGATACCCTTTTTTACATTACTTCAGTGGGTAGTTGTGGAAGCTGTTTCTCCAATCCAGGCATGGAGATACTATGATGAGCCTGACCACAGCCCTGTCCTTCAGGGGGCTTTTTTCTTTTTTCACTCTAGTGGGAAATATACAGTTGATCCAAGAAAGATGTTTACTAAGTTTCTTGAAGATTCTATTTAACCACAGACCAGTAGCGTTTTGGATGGCTTTATTGTTCTGTAATCATCCAATGCGTTAGGTTTGCTAAGTGCGTTACAATAATTTGTTAGTTACTTCCTTCAAGACCCGTCTAGCCGGAGTATACATAGTAATGTGGTAATACCGGCCTCCTTGTAGTTTTCTTTGTAGGAATGGAGTTTCTTCAGCAACTTCCCTGACTCCAATCCGTGAGCGGTTGGGGGTGGATCTGAACTGTTCCTCTGTTTTGGTTGTAGGGGATTCTGTGCCTGTGCACCCCCTCCCCCCCGCCCACCCCCGACTTTGAGCTGAAGCGTCAATGTTGAAAGAATGAACAGCCTTCAGGAAAAAAGCGTTCCCTTTCATCGGGAGGAGTGTTTCTATGTATAAAACGGAGGTGGTGTTCTTGCCTCTTTTCCCCTAAGGTACACATTCAAAATGCAATTTGCTCTGACCTTTCGGATATTAGTTTATTCTTGGTCAGAGGTGGTTTGTGCCAGTGACTTGACGATTCAAGAGCTGTGCCTGTTGTCAGTTCTTAGAAATAGATGTTCCAGTGCAATCAGTGTTGGACCCAGAAGCTGTCCAAAGTCACACATTGTGAAATGTTTTGAACTGAGAGCCCAGGAGATCTCTTTGAGGTT